CCATGGTCTTTTTAAATTTGCTTCATGTGCACGTGAGAGCTGGGCAGTGAATAAGGAAGACCTCGGAAGAACTGATGCATTTGAATTGTGGCACTGGCGAATATTGAATATACTATGGACTGCCAGAAGAATGAACAAATCTGTCTCAGAGTGGAAGTACAGCCACAATGCCCCTTAGAAGTTAGAATGGCTAGTCTTCATCTCTTGTACTTTGGTCATGTCAGAAGGGACCAATCCATGGAGAAGAATACCATATTGGGTAAAGTAGAGGGTCAGCGAAATAGGGAAAGACCCTCAGATTGATGGATTGACACAGTGGCAGTGATGATAGGCTCAAGCATGGCAATGACTGTGAGGACCTGGCAGTGTTTCATTCTGTTGTACGTGGGGTTGATGGTACTTAACAACAACAGCGTCAGTCCTACTCTTGGATAGAAAGCCCAGAAACATTTTCTCACACAGGTCCATAGGGCCATGGATGAGGACGTTCCATCAAGTGGTGTTTGTATTAGTGCAGAACAGGAGTACATCAAGCTGTCACTCACTAGAGGACTGGATAGTAAAGTATGGTGTCTATACATTATCAGGTGTGATGGAGCAGTCAGAAGCAACAAACTGGATCAGAAGTTTGATCTCATTTTACAGCACCCTTACTGTCACAATTTTTTATGGGGCTCCTGTTGTTGTTGCTAGTTGCCATTGAGTCAGCCTCAGCTCATGGTGGCCCAGGCATAAGGGAAGGAAATGCTGCCTGGTCCTGTACCATCCCCATGATGAGTTGTATAAGATCATTGTTATCCATAGGATTTTCGTTGGCTGATTTTTGAAAGTAGATTGCCATACCTTTCCTCCTACTCTCAGTCTGGAAGCTATGCTGACACTTGGTCAGCATCATAGCAACATGCAAGCTGCCACTGACGGACAGGTGGTGACTGCACTTCAGGTGCATTACCCAGAGAATCAAACCTGGACTCCCTCCTGGAAGGTAAGAATTCTACACTGAACCACCACTGCCCTCTAATGGTGCTCCTCAATCAAAAGAAATGTCTAACTGTTCTGCTTTGTTTATAGTTAGGTCCACATGGCATAATACATCCTTATGTCCTAACAAAATAATAATAATAATACACATAAATTGAAAAATAAAATTGTATTTCATTTCATTCTTAAATAACCAGAATTAGTTACTAAAAGGATCTGTGTGCCTGTTGGGCACTGCATAACTTCTCAAATCTTGGAATCAGATTGGGCACTGGCATCCTTTTTTCCTGTTTCACCTTGATTTTCATGCAGTACTTGCTTATCCCTGCGACTACTGAAAACCCAGTTTTGCAAAGATAGGATATTATAGAAAGAAATGTAGCATGATCTAATGTTGGAACTGCGAACTGCCTCAAGTCACATGGTGTCTGACAGATGTTCAGCATCATTATTTCCCTAGAAAGTTAAAAATATCCTGCATCACCCCTATGGGTTCCCTGCAGCTTCCCAGAGCACCTTGCTACACAGATTGGGAAACACATATGCACATAACACTATGAACAAATCTAACAGTGCTGAATAAAAAAAGCACTTAACAAAGTAAGGTCTATGCGGCTCCACTGAGTCTGTTTTTGCTGAGGTTGCATGACCTGGCTCTTCACTGCTCTACCTGGTGGAAACGTTTCCATGTAGCATTAGACTCTGCTGAGTCCCACCTCCCAGAAAGGCTCCTTTGTTGGTTTGCACCACAGCCCCTTCTTACAGCCTCTTCCTGTGTCTTTGACTTGTTCTTCACAGTTTCCTGTGGGGTTTCCAACTGACCCATTAGGAGCCCTTTCTGCACAATTAACCCACTCCTGTTGAGAGTTGATAACTCCCAAATTATTGTTTTCAGCCTAGACCTCTTTCTTGAGCTGCAGACCGTCAGCCTTTGAAAACCCTGTGGAGAATGGTTCTACTCTGACACACACAAGGTTGCCATGAGTCAGAGTCAACAGCAATTAGTTACTAGTTTAGGAGGCTCTGAAAACCACGTGGATTGGAGAGGGAGGAAGCAAAGGTCACGCTGGGGTTTCTGGCTTAGGCACTATAACTGTTGATGCATAACAAAACACCCACAAAACTCAGTGGTTTAAAACCATAATCTTTTGTTGTCGCTCACATGTCTGCAGGTCAGCTGGGGGTTGGCTGATACAGGCAAGGCTCAACTGGGGTAGCTCTGTTCCACTTGTCTTTCATCCTCCTCTTGGGACCAGCAGGGAACCCTAGGTATGTTCTTTTCATGAAAGCACAAGACAGCAAGCAGAAATGTATGAGACCTCTGATGGTCTAGGCTTGGAAGAGGCACATGGCACTTCTGTCTCCATGCCACTGGCCCACGGTTAAGGAAGGAGTGGGAATGTGGCCACTGTGCGAATGGGGCTTTAGGGAGGGGTAAGAAATTGGGACCAAGAATGCCACAATCTATTATAGGCCCACTAGGTGGAGGGTGGTTCCATTCTCTGAGTTAGGACACATGGGAGAAGCAGGCTTGGCCACAGTAGGCTTTAGGGGCCTGGGACATCTGACTGGAGATGCTGAACAAGCAGTGGGATAACACGTTCAAAGTACATGAGATGAAGTCTCACAATCCTCACTTCTAAGGAGCATTTTGACTACTTCTTCCAATTCAAATCTGTTCATTCTTCTAGCAGTCCATGATATATTCAATATTCGTCACCAGTACCATAACTCAGAGGACTTCTAGAGCTTCCTGAGTATCTCTTGAATCCTACTCTTTGTCCTCAGCACCTCTACCCTAGTTCAGGGTACCATCTTCCATAGGCTTCCTGCAACCACATTCTAACTGATTTTCCCTTCCTCCCCTTTGCCCCCATTCTCCACACAGCATCCTGAGTGATCTAATATTGCAAATCTGATCACATGACTCCTCTGCAGTGAGTCTTCTTCACCCTCGGGCCAGGGTTCAGTTAGAGCCTGGATGAAAGACTTGCTGTATACTGTGGGCAGGCTGGTCATTAAGGAGAAATACCTCCAGGCGTTTCTGCTTTGTACCCAAGTCCAGTACAAAGGTTTCCTTAATAGGTTCTGTACAGGGAACCAGTTTCAAGCTCAGAGCATGTTGAATGAAGTCCAGCCTCAGGCCACAGTGATTCCAGCTAGGTAGCACTGCCACAGTGATTCCTGGAACATCATCTTCTACTGAGTTAATAGGGAGAAGAAGGGTGGTGGGGAGCAGGAGAGGCATCCCACAACTTGGAAACAAGATTTGTCTTCATTCCTTGACAATGAATGTGCAGTCTTCTTATGTAGGCAAATGGGTCCTCAGATCTCTAGTTCTCCTAATGGTTGCAGTGAAAGGGCAGTTACATCAAAAGAAAGGACTAGTCACCAGAATGGTAGGTGCTACAGCCCATAGAGAAGGGCATATCTGAAGAAGAGAAGTCTCCCTGTGAAGCAACCTAGGAAAGAACTAGTGGCCTTGGCCCTCAGGAGACATTTGTATAATGCCACACGCCTTCTCACAGGCTGCCCGGTGAATCTCTCCATCACACTTTTCTTATTTAGTAGAATCTAGAGTCAGATTTCCTGGATTTGGACTTAGCTCTGCCACTGATCTTGAGACCTTGGACCAAGGTAATTAACTTATCCATGCTGTAGTTTCTCATTCTGAAAAGTGGGAATAATAATTCATACAAAAAATGAATCGATATTGGAAGAAGTCAGCATAGTGGTTTGAGGGTTATTGACTGTAAAGGGTGTGAGGAAAACTTCTGGAGTGCTGAAAATGTTGTCTTGATCTCAGTAGTGTTTGCACAGTATATACATAGAGAAAATGCCATCATGCACTTTATACCCCATACTGTATTTTGTACCCCAATATAGTATTTTTAAATAAAGAGAATAATAATACCTACCTACCAGCATCGTTCTGGGGATCAAATGGGGTTAGTAGTCAATAAATACCCCTTACCTGGTATCCAGTGTGTGACTATTATCACAATGTGCTGTACTTGCTGGGGGTGTGTCCCCACTGAGCTCTAGATATCTTGGAGGGCAGGGACTTTGCCAGCTTCCGGTTTCAGCAATAAAGATCTGGTCTGGAGTCAATGCAATTCACAATACAGCAAGGGAGAGAAACAGGCTCTGACAGGCTGAGAGGCTCCTGAGAGGGGCATCTCATCTAAGTGTGTGTGTGGGTGTGTGTGTGGGTGGGTGAGTGGGTGGGCGTGCTTCCAGTCCTAAGGACAAGAAGGATGCCACCTGGTGGAATGAGGCGAAGGGGAAGTGTTTGAAGCCAGGGAAATAGCTTCAAGAAGAAAGGGAGCAAGTCTCTTTTTGGTTCTTGTTCATTTTCACCAAGCCCGACACACATTAGACCATCAGTACCAGCTGATTGCAGGAATCACTGAGGTTCTCTGTGGGGACATATGGAACTCTGGTTTTTAATACTGGCATGTGGCACATGTCAGAGTTTGGGAACCAAACAGATACGCTGGGTCAGGACAGGGCCTATCGCAGACCAGTGTTTCTAAGGCTAGGACACATCTTTCCGCGAGCCCCCAGTCATAGCTATAGGTGGAAAGCTGACTCCAGTACTCAAGAGACAGCCATGGGGTATCCAGGCTCCGGGCTACTAGAGAGACCGGCGTAAAGTTGAAACTTCCGGCCCAGGCGTCCTCCGAGGGAGGCCAACTGCATTAGAGGAAGACCTTTGCAGTGAGCAGATCTGGATGGTGAGGAGGTGAAGAAGGGTGGGTTTCTGACGCTGCACTGGGGACGCCCGGTCCGTCCTTCACACAGGTGCAAAGCCCCAGGCCGTGAGGCTGGCTACGAGACCGCGCTCCCGTCCCCTGCAGGCGGCGCCAGAGCGCAAGCCTGGCCTCGTGACACGGGTCCAGGAGTCCGGCAGGGCGGGGCGAGGGGCGGGCCCGGGCGTCGCTGGGCGTTGGAGCACAGCGACTGTCGCGCCGCAGGAAAGACGGTCGAGGAGACACGCTGCAGGACCCTCTGCAGCTATGGCTGAGCCCGCCGCCCGCAGCTGCTGCCTGGGCTGGGATTTCAGCACGCAGCAGGTACCGTCGCGGGGAGCTGGGGTTCAGAGGGTCGCACCGCCTGCGCGACGCTGAGCGGGCTGCCGGGGACCAGGCCACTGGGAACGCTGGGCCGACCAGCGGCGTGTCTCACTCACGAGATTCTCCGGGACCTGGCTCTCCTGGCGTTTGCCCTGCCAGGGTCGTCGCAGCATGCAGATGAAGTCCTCACCTGGAACTTGGCCCTCCCCGAAACGTCGGGCGCCCCCCGGCGGGAATCTGTGGGCACTTGGCCGGGAAGTGCCCAGAGAGGTGTGGGGAGCCCGCGGGTTCGTGCGCCGTCTTGGGCACCGAAGGACGGGGCCCAAAGGAACGCAGCTACAGTGAAACTGGTCAACAGACAGGCATGGGAAGGCGAGCACACATGCGTTACCAGTGACCTGGAAACAGATCACCCCTTGAAACCTTTATTTTTCTTTTTTAAGTGAAATGGTCACAGTGCACTAGTGAACTTTGCCTGTCCATGTGACAGCCTTCGTTTGGCACCAGTGTGCCCAGGACAGCGAGCCCAGGACTACCAGCAGAAGTATGGGCTGTGCTGCTCCCAAGACCCCACAGACAAAAGAGCAGAATCAAAATGTACTTTCTTTGCGTGATGGGCTAGAATAACTCTTTCTTTTTAAAAGTACCTGAGAAATAAACATAGTTTCGTTCAAACCTCTTTCTCAAAGGAGTTTGGAAGGCAGCCCTTGGCCACTCTGTGACCTCACCATCCTGTGGTCCTGTGGTTCCCCAAATTGATTTGAATTGTTAAAACTGTTTCCCCATCTGTCCAGGAAAGGAGGTGTATCCCTGAGTTTGATGGTCCACTATAATGAGACATTATGTGTCTCTGTACCTTGAATGGAGTCTGTGGGGATAGCCAGCAGGCCTTGGTTGGTTCCTCAGATGTCTGCGGGTGTGGACCACCAAAGACGGCTCTAAACCTGCCTTCCATTCCTTCCCCTTTAGAACTTTCTTGGTCTGCTTAAAGAGCCCTGGTGGCACAGTGGTTAAACATTCCACTGCTAACCAAAAGTTTGGCCCACCAGCCACTGCTCAGGAGAAAGATGTGGCAGTCTGCTTCAGTAAAGATTACACTCTTGGAAACCCTGTGGGGGAGTTCTATCTGCTCTGTCCAATGGGGTTGCTTTAAGTCAGAATTGACTCAGTGGCAATGGCTTTGGGTTGATTTTTGATTTGGGCCAGCTTGCCAGGTACAGGAACCAACTTATCTGTGAATATCTACCTCAGGAAGGTCATGGCTTTGGCTATTTGGAGTGTATAGTTTCCTTGAGATACATGGATCTTTCTACTTAGCCTCAGCTGCCTCATTTTACTAAAATCTTTGAGTATGTCCCCAAATAAGGCCTCTGTTGATACGATTACAATGATGTACCCATGTTTTCAAAGAGGTCTCCCAGCTGAACTACTCCTTGGGTGCTGGGCCTCACCTGGTGATGTTAGTACCCCCATGCTAATATCGACATTGAGGAAAATACTATCTGCCACATTTTAAAATGCCTTCCAGGTGAAAGTTGTTGCTGTTGATGCAGACCTGAATATCTTCTATGAGGACAGTGTGCATTTTGACAGAGATCTTCCAGAATTTGGGTATGTACCATGTGGAGGGAGGCAATCAGTTTAGAGGTCTGAGCCAAACACTTTATTAAGATAATCATTAGGGCACAAAAGAAGCTGGGAAAGATATTCCAAAAATACAGGAGAACTGTGGTCTTTGTATTAAACACATGAAGGCAGTGCCCCTCTCCAAATACTGAGGTGAAGCCTCCCCACCACAATACTCCAAACATGGCAGGAAACGGGCACTCTGCTCTAACTCAGAGGGTCAGGGCCACCGTGCATTAGGAAGGACAGGGGTGTTGAGTCTTCTTTCTTTCAACACAAAGCCACCAGAGAGAAAAGTTGGGTTAGAAAGGCAACCGCCACACCTCTTCCTCTCTCAGGCCAGGGGGCTGGGACTTGGAAGGACTAGTTCATTTTGCTGCCTTCTCCTGTTTGTCTTTTCCAGGTGGTCCTGTCACTGAGGTGGGGAGTGGAGATGGGGAGGGGGAGAGAGTCTTGTCAGAAGTCTTCAATGTTCACCTCTATAGAATCTAAGAGGTCAGCCGCTGCTCACCAGGGGAAGAGTAGCTACTTGGTTGCTTGTCTGTGTCTTGCCACTCTTCGCTTGAGTCATCTTGAATAGCCAGCCCTTCCTCTTCCTCTTCCTCCATTAAGCTGAGTCGGGTTAGCCGATTGCCCAGTCCAGGACCTGAAGAGTGAAGTGGAGTGTGGAAATGCTGTGGACCTGAGTATCTGGGCCACTGGGTGGGTGTCTGAAAGGGGCTGGCTGGGAAGCCCGAGGCCAAGTGCTCTTCTGGGCCCTTACCTTTGGGTCAGGAGTGGTGGTTTTGATAGAATCTTTCTCCTGTGCCTGAAATATTCCATCCCAATTCCTTCCTTCCTTCCTTTCATTCATTCATTCATTCATTCATTCATAGGTCAGTTGAAACAAACTTTGTTCCAGGTACTATTCTAGATGCTAGAGATTCAATGGTGAACCAAAAACTTCCCATTGATTGAGAGGCTTATGTTAGATAATCTCACAAAAGAATACTTAGTTATAAACTCAAAGAAGGGTTGTAAAGGAAAGGAACTCACTTTTCCAAGTGCTTACTATGAAGGAATGTGATCCAGACTGGGGTGGGGTGGGGCTTAAGGGGGTGTTCCTAAGGGAATATTGCTTAAGCTGACATTTGAATGAGGGGGATTAGCCAGGTGATGGAAGGGAGAGAGTATTCCAGGTAAAAGGGCAGTGAGTACAGAGGTCCTGTGTCTGTAAAGAGCATTCATTGTGGCTAGGGAGCTGAGACAGAGTGGAAGCTGGACTGGGCCATGTAGGCCGTGGTATGGAGTTTGTCTTTATCCTAAAAGCTATAGACAGCCACTGAAGTGTGTGTTTGTGTGTGATACATTGTGTTTGTGTTTTGAAAAGATCTCTCTGGGTGCTGTAGGGAAACAGTGGGGATGTAGGGCTGGAGTCAGTGTTCTCTACTTGCCTAAGCTAGAAGCTTAGATCACTGATTTGAAATCTTTCTTTTTTTCTAATATATGTATTCAATGTTACAAATTTCCCTCTAAGCACTGCTTTTTTGCAATGCACAATTTTTTTTTTTTTTAAATTGTGATTTGGATGAAAATTTACAGAGCAAATTCGCTTTCCATACAGCAGTTCACATACACTTTGTCTCATGATATTGACCACAATTTACCACAATGCGACAGCTCTCCTCCCACTTCCTCCTGATAGTTACCTCATCCCTTTGTCCATCCCTCAATGCACTCCTGCCCCCTGAGCTGTCTCCCTGTGGATAAGCAGCCCTTCTTTCTCCCATGATTGTTCTCTCCAGGGAGTGTATCTACCTCAGGTAAATGTTCAACTCATATGCCTGTCTTTTGTTTGGCTGGAAGCCACAGGTGTGGGTTCAATTCCACACCTGAAGGGCAGCTAGGGGCCATAGTCTCAGTGGTTACACCAAGTTCTATCGGACCAGCAAACCTGGTCCCTCCCCCCCTTTATTTTTTCTCCAAATGATTTTGAGTTTTGTTCCACATTGTTCTCCCTCTCTCTCCAGGATCTCCTACATAGATCCCCTTCCAAATGGTTGATAGTGGTAGCTGGGCACCATCTAGTTCTTCTGGTTTCATAGTCATAGAAGCTGCAGATCACATGGTGTACCAGTTGCTAGGACTAATTGTTTCCATGAATTTTTTGTTTTCTTCATTCTTCTTTGCTCTGGACAAGGAGAGACCCATCGTTGCATCTAGATGGCTGCTTGCAAGCTTTTAAGATCCCAGTCGCTACTCACCAAAGTAGGAGATGGAACAATGTTTTGTATAGTATGTTATGCCAATTGAGCTTGATGTCCCCTGTGACTATGGTCCTGAGCCCACAGCTTCAACTACTCTGTCCCACTTCTTGCCTGTGACCAAGAAGTGACTACAACCTTGCCCCTTGTCAGCTCTACTATATACCTAGGAATTCAGATCATACACATAAACTTATAGGACCATTGTCTGCCAACCCTATACATGTTCTTGGGCACACTCTTCGCTTCATAGACATACCTACTAGTTCAGCCTGTCCACCCATCTATCCACCTGTATACCGATGTTTGCCTTCACTGACAATGCAGTACTGTATGTGCAGATCATCTTTGTTGTCTGTACCTCCCATGTACCTCTCTATGTCTTTCTCTTCCTCAGTGCCACCATACTGATCACTCACATTTGGTACATTGCTCTTCTCTTTACCGAAATCAATACTTATCTATCTAACGGTGTTCCCTCTCCTCCCCTCCCACTCCTGGTAACCAACAAAAGAAATTTCCTTCCATAGATAAACCTTTCCTTGACATTTACAATAACGGACTAATAGAATATTTGTCCTTTTGTGATTGCCTTATTTCACTCAGCATAATGTCCTCCAAGTTCATCCATGTTATGTGTTTTGCCGATTCTATGTTATTCTTTAGCATTGCATAGTATTCCATTGTGTGTATGTACCATAGTTTGGTTATCCATTCTTCAGTTGATAGACACCTAGGTTGTTTCCATCTTTTGGCTATTGTAAATAGTGCTGCGATGAACATGGGTGTGCATATGTCTATTCTTGTCATGGCTCTCACTTTAGGATATATACCTAGTAATGGAATGGCTGAGTCAAATGGTATTTCTAATTATAACTTTTTAAGGAATCGCCATACTGCTTTCCACAGTGGCAACCCACAAATGGTAATAAGTTGTATTTTCATTGGATTCAAAATATTTAAAACTTTATCTTGAGATTTCTTTGATGTATGTGTAACTTAGAAGTAAGTTGTTTCATGTCCAAATATCTAGTGATTTCTCTGCCTTTCTGTTACTAATTTCTAGTTTCATTCCATTGTGTTCTGAGAACAGACTCTTTGTGATTTCCATGCTTTTAAATTTGTTAAAGTGTGTATCATAGACCAGAATGTGGTCTGTCTTGGTGAATGTTCCATGAGCTTAAGAATGTGAAACCTGCTATTGTTGATAAAAACCAAACCCACTGCCATTGAATTGACTCCTAGCCACCCCCATTGGGTTTCTATAGATCTTTCTGGAAGTAGTTTGCCTCGTAGTCCTCCCATGGAGCAGCTGGTGTGTTTTGAACCTCCAGCCATCTGATTAGCAGACAAAAGCCTTACCCACTATGCCACCAGAGCTCTTTGTTGTTGAATAAAGTATTCTATAAATGTAAATTACATCAAGTTGCTTGATAGTGCTATGAAGTCAGCTATATCCTCTCTGCTTTTCTGCTGGCTTGAGCTGTTAATTACTAACAGAGGAGTGCTGAAGTCTCCAGTTAATATGCTGGATGTTTCCATTTCTCTGTTCAGTTCTATCAGTTTTTGCCACAAGTATTTTGAAGATATGTTGTAGAGGTATTATCATCTTGGAGAATGACCCCTTTATCAGTATGAAGAAGTCCCTGGGTGGTATAAGCAAATTGTGATTGGCTGCTAACATAAAGGTTGGCGATTTGAACCTGGCCAGCAGTGCTGCAGGAGAATGGCTTGTGATCTGCTTCTATAAAGGTTGTTGGTTGCTGTTGAGTAGATTCCAACTAATGGTGACCCCACGTATGCAGAGTAGGGTTTTCAAGGCTGTGACCTTTTGAAAGCAGATCACCAGACCTGTCTCCCAAGGGGCTTCTGGGTGGGTTTGAACCACCAACCTTTCGGCTAGTAGTTGGCCACCTCATTGTTTTTACCACCCAGGAACTCTCTCCATAAAGAGTACAGCCAAAAAAACCCTGCGAAGCCAGTTTTACTCTGTAACACATGGGGTTGCCGTGAGTTAAAACTGACTCTGTGGCAACTGGTGTGGGTTTTTTGTTTGTTTTTGGTTTAGCAGGATAATATGCCTCTCTTTATCCCAGATAATTTTCCTTGTTCCGAAGTCTGTTTTGTGTGAAATTAATATAGCTACTCCAGCTTCTTTTGATTAGTGTTAACATGGTATATCTTTCTCCATCCCTTTATTTTTCAAAGCTTTATTGACATAGAGTTCACATACCATACAACTCACCTATTTAAAGTGTATAATTCATTGGTTTTTAGTAAATTCATAGAGTTGTGCATCTGTTATCAATTTTAGGACACTTTTATCACCTCAAGAAGATCAGTACCCCTTAGCTGTCACCTACTATCCCTCCTAACTAAACACACCCCTACTTTCTGTAGATTGGCCTACTCTGAACATTTCATATAAATGGAGCTGTGTATTATGTGGTCTTTTGTAACTGTCTTCCTTCACTTAGTGTAATGTTTTCAAGATTTATCCATGTGGTAGCATATATCGGTACTTTATTCCTCTTTATCTATGGCTAGTAATATCCCATTATATGGATATACCACATTTTATTTATCCATTCATCAACTGATGGACACTTGAGTTGTTTCCATTTTTTGGTTATAATGAATAATGCTACTATGAAGATTCTTGTTCATGTTTTTTGCATGGAAATGTTTTCATTTCTCTTGAGCTAGAATTGCTGAGTCATATGGTAACTGTTTAACATTTTG